TGTTGCTTTTCTTGATTTCCAACTCTGGCGGCTGTCCCGTAGTCTTGCTGTACAGCACTAGCCGCAGTGAGGTACAGGGTGTGGGGGTATGTGTCTGTGTCATTGGTTTGCTGTGTCTCAAAGTTCTGCATTATAATCTTAAAGCTATTTTTTTTTTGTAAGTTCTGTATCAAATACAAGGAAAAAGATTTCTTCACCAGTAGTTTTACAAAGTCCTCCTAGGTTCTGAGTTTAAAGTACATTCTTTTGCTGATGGGGTTTGTTTGAAACTACCCCATGCAGTTTATTAATATAACACTACATTGCAGAATCCGGAAAAGCCTGTTGCAGTAGTGCTACCAAACATGATCTGACTTGCAGTGTGACAGCTGCTCAGGATTCCTGTTCAGTTTATTGTTTCTTTTCCTGTTTCTTTCGTTATGTTTACCTTTACATGTTTACACCATTGTTACGGCATGTGTAAGAACCTAATTCTTTCAGCTTGGCCATGGGGGGAAAAAAACTTTCCTGTTTTGTTGCCTTCTTGCAGCAAAAATTCTCGGCAAAAATTCGAAGTAAGAGCTTAGTAGGGCTTTCTGAATAAGAATTTAAACCAGCCTCCATAAGTATCAATACATAAATATCTGGAACTTACACAGCTGATGTCTGCAAGTATCTGCTGAATATGCATTTTGTTTTTTCCTCACTCCTGCTGTAAAGGAATGGTAAGTCACTTATCCTTTCTCCCGAACTAGTAGACATACTGATTGTTACTGTTGAGGGTTATTACACTTACCTAATTGAAACAGTATTAATGACAGATACTAAATATGCAATATATGAACATAAATGGAAGTGCCAATGGTCATGCCAAGTAACAAACTTTGTGGTTCTATTTAAACAAAAATGACACCTTAATTTTAAGTATTGTATGATTACACCTTGTAGTGTGGTTTTGAATTGAGGCGCAGCATTTGCACTGGTCAGAAAGTGTGAAGTTTTGTATTTTTAGGATTACCGAATTGAAGTAACTATTTAACTGTTAATTTAACTCCTGATATTTCAGTGGCTACTTCTCAGTGCTGTAGAGGTTAATAACTGAATAATTTGCTGCAGTAACTTTAATTCTCCAATTTTGACTAAGTATAAAATGTTCAGTGGCTTTGAAGAAGTTCTGCATATTTGCTTATCTTAGCTTGTAATAATAATACATATAACATCATACAGAAACTTTTGTACTGTTTATATGAAAGTAGGACATTCTGCCTAAAATATGAGACTGCTAGAATAGAAACTGGACTAGTATGAAACAAAAAAAATCCCTCCAGATTTTCACAGTATGGACCTCCTTATCCAATTAGTGTGTTTTGTTTTGTTTCTTATTTTCTTAATTAGGTGAGCTCCTAGAATCTACTGTAACTTCAATTATAACAAAAAATATTAGTTGCCTTTTTACTGTCTGCTCAAGAAGTCCTTCAGGAATAAAGAATTGCTCTTGCCAAAGGGTTGTTGATTCTTCCTTATTATGTAGCTTCAGGATCCTTTTATAGTTTGGTATCCCCTTTGATTTTAAACTTGGGACTGTGAAGAGAAAATGTTGCCAGAGTTAGTTGGCAAAGAGATTCCTCAACAGCTCCATAGGTTGTTTCCTTAAAAAATCTTGGCTCTGTGGTTCTCTCATTTGCTTTACATTTCCATAATTGTCTAGAAGGTGGGTTTTTTGTTTGTCTTCCAATTTAATTTTGCCTTTGGTGTTGATATTTAATTATGTATGAACTTTCATTTGACAAACCCCTGCTGATTTTTAACATATATAGTTGTCACTAGACCTGTAAATATCCATTTTTCTTTATAACGACCTTCCTTTCAACAGAACCTAGTTAATAAATTGAATATTTAAGTTCACACGGCTTACTAGAGTAACCATTGGTGATGCAGGTGGCAGCCCTTTTGTCTTCCCCTAGTTAAATATACTTCCTATGAACTCTATGAGTCAATCTTAAAATTGCTGAAAGTATAGCAAAGAAGCTTGTAATTATTTTTATGTTCTTAGCTGGAATATATTTATAATTATCTAATGCCTTTAGGTCTGTATCATAAGTTTTATATCCTTCCTTTATTTTTTTTTTTCCCTGTAGTACTCCATTCTTGCAGGAAGATGTAGATGCTATGAAATAATCCTTCAATTTTCTTTGACTTTTCATCCCATATCAAGGGTATCAGGTTTGTCCCACTTTGTCGAAAGATGAGTTTCAAGTTCTCTTTGGTTAACGATTAATATAAAAAATGCTTTAGTTTTTTGAATAACACTCAAAATTACTTAAACACCAACCTCTTGTTTCAGAACTGGGACTTACTAACACGTTGGCGGTAAGTTTAGGTGTTCTGTGCGTGTTTTAGTTGCTGCATAGTTTAATGAGCTTTCCCATTTGCGTGGCTCCACATGTGATTTTCATGCCTCAGTAACTGAATTTTCTTGCCAAATTACAATGGATCTGAAAGAAGGGCAAATTGCTAAATTTTAATTAGCTAAATTCTGTGTCAAGTGTAAACAAATTTTAAGAAATTTGTCTAGAAATAAAGTTGTTCATATCAGAGTTCTGGTTCTTCCCACTGTACAGGTAAATCAAACCCATAAAAGTAGTGTGCCTGTCTGCTAACTCTTTGGTAGCTTCTTTCAGAAGTATTTTTTCACTGTATTGGCATGCTGACTTTGACATCTTATCATGCTTGGTAGTTGTATAAGTAAGCTGGTGTTATATGGTGTATATAATGATTAACCTGTGGTAGCTCCAGAATGCATACCTGCTGACTTGTTTTTGGCAGCAAAGGCTCAAAACTCTCCCACTACTCATTTGTAAATGCTGTTGAACTTGAAAAGTGTTTAACTCACATGCTACCACTGTTACATGATTTACTTCAGTGTACAAAATTGGATCGTATTAAAAATATTCTTATTTTAGTTTTGTTTCATGTTGGATGCTTAGTTGTAGTCCTTGTTGCGTGAAGAGCTTTAAGACATCTTAAAAATTAAGACAAAGTAGATCTACCACCCTTTATAAAGTACTCCAGAAGAAATTTTTTTACCTACTCATTCAATTAGCTTTTCTAAGGAGGAGCTTTCTAAACCAAAATAAGAGACTTGCAGTCCAGAGCATGTGGACTTTGCACAATTTTTTTTTTTAATAATTTTGGTTTTAGACAATCCGTAGCACCTGATAAGGAAAAGTCTTATTTTCCTAATTTCCTAGATCAGAAATTGTAATTTATATAAGCAGAAATACCAGCTTTGCATAACAGATGTTCCAAGGAGGAATTAATACTCATGCACTGTATCTACTGCATGCTGCTAGCTCCCTTCCTCCAGCATGCAAAGAGCAATGCTGTTGGAGTCCCAAATACTCCAAAGCCCATGCAAAATAATTGCTCGCTGGGTATGTAATAAGTACACAAGAGTGAACACTTTGATACGTTTGAGAATGCACACTGTTGGTTTAAAGGAAGATACTTATTGAACTGAAGAGAATAATCTTCTTTTAGACAGGTTTTTTAATGCTTAGGGACATTTTTTTCATGAAAGGAAATGTGACTTAAGGAATTTATATGTCTATATGAAATTTAGGTAGAACCAAGGTTCAGAAATCCAGTACTGTAAAACTTTTCTGCAGGTGCTTAGCCCTGGAAGAATACAAGCTGTGCTATTTTTTTTTTTTTTTCCCAGTTCATTAAGCCCCTGTAATTTGTAGCTTTTTACACCTGGAAGTGCCCCAGACTTAACAGACTAGCTAAATTTGGTGAATATCTTATTAAAAAAACAAAACAAAACAAAACAAAACCAAAACGAGAAACAACCCCCAACCAGACAAACAAAGAAAACAAAACCGAAAAACCAACCCAAACAAAACCAAAGCCTTCCTGACACCGAAGGTGTCTCCACCACTCTTCACTGGCATCTGCAAGGCTTGTTGGTTATGTGAACTGTAACTACGGGTACCACCACCTTTTAAAATGCGTAAGAGGGTGGCATGGCAGGGGCCACAGGCCAGCACCTTCAAGGCTGGGCCAGCGCTCTGAATAAAACGTCCTGGTTGTGCACAAGCGCTTTGGAGACTCGCAGCATGCTCTTAAAACCTTGGCTGCCTTGTAAACTACCCTGCTGTGTGTTCATAGTGCAGTGAGGCCAGGAGCTGCATTGGAGACAGCCTGGAAACAAGATGAGGAGCAGCGTGACCTGCAAGAAGCGTGATCTCCTGTCAAGTGTGTGAGGGGAATTTCTCTTCTCCTGTATCTAATGAGCTTCTCACGTTTTTCTGTGAGCCCTTTGGTTCCACCAGGCATTGTTAGGGCATGCACTGATCATACGGGGTATTTTTAGAAAGTGTAAATAATAGCAGGGGCATGCTCCGAATTTTCCTTCTAGCAGCAGCAGCAATGCCAGCAGTTCACATCACGTGGCCGCTTAAACATCTATCCCAGTAACATTTTCCCACCCAAACATAGCATCCGAGCGCCCTGTGGAGACCGCGTGCCTATCGGAGCCTGGCTCACACGGAGGGATATGCATTGGAAACTTAACCATTCCAGGCCTCTGACCTCACTTTAACTCCCGTGGTGTTAGTCCTTGGTCACAAAGTGATAGGACAGAAATTTCAGCCACCGTAACTTCGCGGGGAGACATCTGCAATGGCGCATCCGAGTCGTCTGCCGGGGGAAGTAGCGGAGCACCGGAGGGAAAACAGGGAACACCCCCCCACACACTTCGCAACCGAAGTGATTGTAACCTCGGTGGGTTTGTCCACGTGTGTCTTCCGTGGGTGTGAGGGTTTTATAACAACGAAACTGCAGAGTCGGGGGTGTCGGGGGGGGCTGCAGGAGCGGGGGCTGCTGCCGCCGGCCCGGCCCTGCCGCCAGCCCCCCGTGGGACCCCGCTCCCGGGGCTGGGCAGCCGCGGGGCCGCTGGACAGCTCTCCGCGCCGCCGCCGGGGCGGACAGCCTCCGCCCGACAACCACGGCTACCGACACCCGCCGCCGCCCCTCAGGCGCGGCCCCGCCATCAGCCAGCAGCCCCGCCCCGGGCGCACCGACGTCACTGGGCGTCAGGGCCGAGCCCCCCACCCTCCCTCCCGCCTTCGCTCCCGCCGCCGGACAACAGCCGCCGCCTCGGCCCAGCCCGCCGCCACTCCGGTCCCTTCCCCGAGAGCCGCGCAGCGCGAAGATGGCGGCGTACAAATTCCTCCTGCCGCCACTCAGCCGCCGCATCCTCCTTCCCGCCGCGCGGGCGCGGGGCGCCGCCGCCGCCGCCGCTGAGGTAAGGCGGGGCGGCGGGGACGGCCGCAGCCCCGGGCCGCCGCTCGGCAGCGCTCCCCGGCACCGCCCGGCACCGCGCCCTCGCCGCGGCCCCCTGCCCGCCGAGCCGCCGCCGCTGCCCGGGCGGCCGTGACCTTGGCAGGGTGCAGACCCCGCCGGGGCTCGACGCCTGCCGCAGGCGAGGGAGCCTCCTACTTGAAGTGATGGGTTTTGTTTTTTCTTTTGGGTTTGATTTTTTGTGCTTTTTATCTTCCTTTTTTTTTTTTTTTTTTTTTTTTTTTGAATACCCCTATTAACGCGTGGCGGTTTTGGCCCGAAGGAGGCCCGCGGGTGCTGCGGAAGGCGGGCGGCCGGGAGGAGGGCAGAGCAGGGCCCCCGGGCAGGCCTTGTTTCGGCGGTGGGTTGGGATGCCGTGACCTTGGGGGATCAGCCCGGAAATTTGTCTTCGGGGTTAATTTTTGTGTATTTCTCTTCCATTTGAAATCGCAGTACATTTCCAGTATGCTCCTGTATATTTCAATCTTGTTCTCACCTTAACGCTGTTGGCCTTTCCAAGGGGTAGGCTGCAGGTTTGGGCAAGGAGACTCCCGGTCAGTGAACGCAGGTCCCCAGCAGCCCCCCTGTGTGTTGCCGTTCAAAAACCTATGGAGTTCAGCTGTGCAGCTAGCTTGCTTGCTTGATTTGCTCTTCCTGGGGGAAGCTTTTGCCAAACCTCACTGATCTAATGGCTTCCACCCCACATATAACTATAGACACTTTTTTTTGTCTCTTCAGGTAGAATTGTTTCTGTGGCTTTTCTTATTTTAGTTGAAACGGCTCATCTACTCTGCTTCTCATGCCTGTGGTTATTCTCCCTGATGTCTTTATGGACAAATAATAATAGCTCTTTAAGTTTTTGTTTTGTTAAGTTATATTTTGCTCTTCTATAAAATTTAGTTCAATTTTGTTGATTGTTCTAGGAACTCATACAACCCCATGTTTATTCTCTCTTAAACCTGGACAGCCAGAATTGCAGCCAGCTCTTGAGGTCTTAGCTTGCTGCCCTGGTGTGCAGGGGAGCACTGGTGATCCCTGGCATCTTGGCTTCTGAAAAGTCCATTGCTTTCAAACTGCAGGGTGAGTGGGAAAGGGACTGAAAAGAACATATTTAGTACAGAAGGGCAGATAACCATGGTAGAGACATCCATCCTGGGAATACACACATATGTAACACATACTGCTTTGTTGTTCCCCACTGTTACAGGCAATTGGGAAGATCAAATAAAGGGTACCATGTGGTCTCTAAAATATTCTCCTGTATCTGGGTACAGGGACACAGCAGTGCCCTGGCCTCCCTCCAGCCCTGGCCCTCATATCTGCTTGCAGCTCTGTTGTACCAGAGCTCACGAGGGCGCCAGCACTTAATAATCATTTTGTCACTTGCCTACTGGATGTGACCAGAAGAGATGGTATTTGCAGTCTTACAGTTGTTACAAACAAATGTTTCTGAAAGAATTAGTCACAGTATAATTGGGTATGGGGAAAGGTCTTTTACTCTATCTGGCCCTGTTCCATATGACCCATGTACTGATTTATTTATTTTTTAGTCCATCAAAGCAGAGGAACATCAGTGTTTTCACTTGGAAGGAGTTAAGCCTCCATTCAGAAAGGTTTTCCTAATATTCAGTACGAACTCTTGCAGTCTTATTTTTATAAAGAATATAATTTGTGTAACCTCGAAACTGAGCCAGAAATTATTGTCCTCCTTGTAACTGGATCTTAAGGCAACTCTTTAGGGAAGAATTAGGCTATTGCCTTTTAAGTGCATGTAGATTAGCTTGCTTATTATTTATTTAGTCATTCTTTTCCCCTTCCAGTTTAAAAATTTCTCACTGCTACTATCAAATTAGAAGTGGAAACACCAGTAGATAGTAGTATAACTTCCAGATCCTCTCAGTTTGTGGAGACTCTGTCAGTGTAGTGACTTAGATGTCAGTTGCTACTGGAGCCTTGGCAGTACCTGATTAGTATTAATGCATGGTAGTATGGATGGGAAATATTTAAAGAGAAAATAAAAAAAGGGTAACCATGACCTAAGAGTATAATAGATGAGTTATGATGGTTACTGTGTAATGGCTTTGCACCATGAAGTCTAGTTTTCAGGGTGATATTTGTATTGATTTCCCTCTTGCCCCTCCCTATTATCAGTTTGTTGGAATCTCCCTGATTCTGGGCTGTTCTTCAACAACACAAAGTGCTCTAACACTGTGTTAGGAAGCTGGGGGAAGGTTCACTTTGTTGAAGGGAGTCCCAGCTTACTATACTGCCAGCACAGCGCTGTGCTTCATGTTGTTCCTTGGCTTCCACTCAAATTTTGTAGTGGTGTTGTCTCTTTGCTTCAGCAATTTCTGGTTATGTTTAGTGTTTGAATACCTTTGAAGCTACAAGTAGCAATATTTGGGTTAGGACAGTCTTTGGATTGCTCTAACTCCTGCAGAGGAATTGCATTTGTGAATCTGTTCACAATGAGTCTCAATTTGTCAGTAGTTTAGGATGAAATTCAGAAATTTAAAATCTGTTTGGATATTGTCAAATTGATGCAGCTCATATTAAGCCTAAAGCCTTCATAGTACATATAAATTCTGTAAAATATGGGTGATATGGGGGATAGAGAGGCAATAGAGTCCTTGTTTTGGATACCCAAACCTTTCTCCACCCTGACCCTGATGTTTAGTGTTTACAGTTGGAATATCTGGGTTTTTGTATGTTTTCCCACTTACCTAGCCGGAGGGTTGGTTGCCATTATAAAGCTACTATAAAATGCTTTTATTCATTCACTTGTTTCTTTTAATGTTGTTCCAGATTTGTGGATGCTATTTTTCTACCAGCTGTCATCGCAACACCAAATTTTATACTGATCCTGTTGAAGCTGTAAAAGATATACCCAATGGGGCAACTATACTTGTTGGTGGTAAATATTTAAATTCTTTATGGATTAAATCACATGTTCTATTAATGAGATACTTTTTACTGTTTTACCATGTTTCTTTTAATATTAACTAATTTAAGAATCCATGTACTTGTATGTTTATTTTAAACAAGTGATTTCTTACTTGGCTAATGAGGGACAGACTCTTTCAGTTTGTTTCTTAGGGTAGTGGAAAAGCCTCAGAAAAATCATTAGTTTGTTTTGCCTTACTGGTGAATTGTAAGACTTTACTTATGCCAGTTTGAATGCAGAAAATCAACTTTGGCTTTTTCAAGTTAGCATTGTTATTTCAGATGGTGAAGAAGTAAAATTTGGTTTGATTATTTGTATGGTGGTATTCTCAGTATTCTGTATCTGCCTAGTCACTTGGTGTCTGTGACCTTGAACAAATTGCCTAACCTGTTTCTGGCTGTAGGAAATAAAGATAATACTTATCTATGTTACACTAAATGGTTATGTGTAGTATTTACAGAAGAGTCAAAAAGTTGTGTCTTACTGACTTTCACTGTGACTTGAGCTTTTGAATATTCTAGACGATTTCCATGATTTCATGCTGTTCAATCTACTGAAATAAAAGTGATATCCCTATTTAGTAGGTTACATGCGATTTTTAATATTAAAGAAGTGATGAATAGAATTGTAAAACATGGGAAACCTCACTGGAGGTGTGTAATGAGGGAAGACGCTTTCTAGGAAGAATTACTGTAATTTTTTGTTGTTGTTGGAACAAAAGAAGATCTGAGGCTAAGTGATTGGGAAGCAAATGGTAGTAGTTGTAGTGTTAGAGCCTGTCCTAAGAGTGAGGTGCCTCAAATCTGACATGGTATTTCATTTTAGGCATACCAGGTTCTTGCATAATAGGTAGAAGTATGAGGGATCTGAGCCTGGGTGGAGATCTGGGTTACTGTGCTTCCAGTTACAGATCTTGAGAGCATTAAGAGCCCCAGATTTTTATCACCTAATTATAGGCTAACCTGTGTAGGAGAACTCCTTGCTCCTCCTGTTTGACATTGTTACATGCAGCAAAGATCTGAAGGTTAGTTGGGTAGAAAGAGAAGAAGGAATAATGAGCACAGTGGTTAAGACACACATCAGGAGAGCCAAAGGTCCTGGACCCTTGCTCCAAAGGTCATTTGTGTGTGAGCAGACCTCTGATAGTTAAATGGCTTTCCTGCAAACTGGGAAGCACCTAGTGACTGGGAGATGACAATACTAAGGTGCAACTCTTTCCAGAGGTGTTGGTTTATTTAGTCAACTAAGGAGCTTGTTCTACTCATAAAAGATTTTTAATGAAACAGTACATATTCTCAGACTTCTGATTAGTCTATGTTCTTTCAAACACTTGTTACATATTAAATATTCTTTTATTTTATGTAGGTTTTGGATTGTGTGGGATTCCTGAAAACCTGATTGGGGGTTTACTGAAGACTGGAGTAAAGGGACTAACAGCAGTCAGTAATAATGCAGGGTAGGTATTCATATGTCTGTGGTTTATTAAGTATAGACTAAATATTCTGTTCATGGGAAAAGGCTGATATGTATGAAAAAGTCCTACTTTTCATCATGAGAATTTTCATATTAATGACACAGCTTTGTTTGAAAGTGTTATTTTTGGAATGAGCCCAGAAAGTACAGTACTGAATATGTATACGCAGCTTTGTCAGGGAGCAGTTGTCACTGTTGTAGACAGTTGCAATCATATGTATTTATATATATTTAACTGACTGACTGTAGCTGAGAATTCTGACTTAGATGCTTTAAATGTAATATCAATGTGTGTGTGACATTCTAAACAGGGATATTTTTTTTTTTAAACTACAATTTGGTGCTTTCTGACTTTCTTACTCTAATTCTGTTACTTAAAAAAAAAACTCCAAACAACACAACAGTGGTGAATATTATAAAAGAATGGAGAGCTTCTTTAATGGGTCTTGGAATTTTTGATTTATTCTTTTAAATGTTTGCCCATTAAGATATTCATGTGGGATTGACAGTGAGAATAATTCTTTTACATATAACTTCTCAGTGTCTCATTAGGGCTAATTTTTACACAGGCTGTTCATTGTGGCAGACTCCACAATACCTGACAATTTTCATATAGAGAAATAATTACAACCACTTCTTTTGAAAGGCATTGATAAGTAGTACTTCTATTTCTTTTAATTTCTGACACCCAGAATATAATGACTTGTATTTGAAGTCAGCCTGGTCAATAAGATGGATATTCTGTTCCTTGCAGCATTGTTGGATGACTGGTATCTGCAGGTGGCTCTAACCTTGGTTCAGTGACTCATCCTATTAAATGTTACCTTCAGCAACACAATAATTCCAATGTAATTTTGTTCATTGTAGATTTAAAGAATATTGGAAGACTATCTCCTGGTGGCATTGTACTTTCTTTAGCAAATTTTCTTTGATTAGGAACTTCATCCCAAACTCTATTTTCTTGTGAAATAACAGTCTTTTCTTATTAGTACAGCTAGATATACTGGGGTTGCACACCCCAGTTGGTAAGGAAGATGCTTTGTAAGCATTCTTCCCATTTTTTTTTTTTTTTTTAAAATTTTTTTATAACGTTGCTTACTTTCAGCAAATGGTAATATCTGTGTTATTACATTTTCTGTGAACTTCTTACTTTTGAATGCTGTATTTATGGTGAAATAGTAATGAGAATTATGAGCCCTTTTCTTGGGTGGGAAGTCTCCCATCTGTTCTGTAGCAGCTCAGCCTTTATCCGATTGCAGAGTGAGAACTGTAGGGGGAAAAAAAAATCACTGGGAAACTGTTTTCTTCTGTACCTATGTTAAAATAAAAGAGAGACAAGTATATATAAGCCAGAAAGGTTGTTTGGGTATGAAGAACTTTGTTCTTCATATAAAATAAAAATGGGTGTCAAACCTTGCTCCTTAATTCCTCCAGCCTTGCCAAAAAAGTGAACTAGGTGGAATTTATTTAATAATGATTTGTGCTATTTTGAGCTGCATCTCTACATCTCTCATATACTTTATCCATAGATTTGCATCCCAATCTTTTGTTTTTAACCCAACTGTATTTAACATAAGTTAAAACTAGAATACCATTCAAAAACCAGATTTAGTTTCTATATATGTAGATTTATAGTCCAGACTTCTGAGATTGAAGTTCACGATATGTTGATCTTAATTTTCTTTTCAGTGCTTCTTGCTTGCCATTGCATGTTCATTGGATAACAGATATGATTTATATTGGAATTTGGCACATACACAATCAAAACTCAAGCTCTTTAGCCTTCTGTGGGAAGCAATCTCTGTTGGATGAGAAAAAGGAGAGAGAGAGAGATACAGAAATAATTTTGAGTGGAAAGATCAATCACTTGGAGATCATTTCACTTAGAGGAGACATCATTCACTTTCCTCATACTCTTATTTCTGAGTGACACACATGTATATAGATAGAGAGATTGCATGGGTGCTTCTGGAAGGGAGTTGAGGGTTTGAATGTGAGGAAAAGTGAAAAGGGAAGCATTATGGAATAGAAGGCAGAAGATAGCATTTTATATTATATTCTGCGTATAGTTGGTGGTGTTACAGGTTAGACTTAATTTTGCTTGAAATAACGCTAACTTTCCTTAAAATTCTTTGGACTTTGAGGCTGGAGTGAGTACTGTGAAATGTTTGGTTGCTGACAGGAAAGCAAAATTTAAGTCGTTTTTTCTTGAAACTAGTTTTCCATGAACATTCATGGAAGAACAGTGTAATGATTGAAAATGCCTGAGGGCATCTAGGCTTTTCATAAAGTCTAATTTGTAAAAATCATAGTTTTGCTCTCATGTTGAATGGTATCATTTGTTTTGAAATTAATAATAAAATATAGTCTCATCTATTGTTTTCATCTATTGTATTACAATTATATGGAACTTAGGTGACTGTAGTTTGGTAGGGTTTGGGAACCAGTTTAAAGCACAGATGTCATTACCTCATCACAGTGAATGATACCATTTAATCATCTTCTAATACCATGTCAAAAAAGTATAGTGATATTATCAAGTATTGCAATACTAATAAGTGGATTTAAAAACTGAAGTAGCACAGCAATCATATACCCTGCAGCAATAGAATTTAAAGGGTGAATTGTTCCTGTAATCTCAATGTCAGGTACTTTATGGAATGAGCATTTTGCTACTTTTCAAGATTCAGTGTGTTTTGCTTTGGTGCTGTTGATGTCCTGATGTGTTTTTTCTTCCTGACTACAGCTGTTTTCTCCAGCTCATCCAGCAAACAGGAAGTAATTGGCTGTGGTTAGGTTTTCTCATCCTGCAGTGGGGTTAGCAGGGAACTTGTAATTGGAGCAGGGAAGGAGCCAAGTAACTGGACAGAGAACCTGTTCTGGAGAACAGTGCAGCTACATGGATTAAGTCATATGTCTTTTAATATGTGTGAACTACAAGATGTGTTAGAGCTGTCTGTTTATAACTAAAATAGCAGCAATGGAGACAGTGTTTCACTTACACCTAGGGGAAAGCATTAATTAGGACGTCCTGAAGTGCTTTTGCCAACTTTTCTTTTAGCTGGAAAGAAGGTTCAGCAAAGCCCAGAAATGCTTGGCAGTGTCTAGAAACATTAGAGTAGGATGTTTGCAAGTTCACACCCTGTTCTCTGCTGCAGTGTAACAGTGCAAATCCTTGTACAAATCACGGAGTTGCTGCCAGGTAAAGTCCTTGTTTTGGCCTTTGAAAGGCTTGCCAAGGACAGGTTGTACAGTAGCATATGGGGTGCTCTTAGGTACCCTAGTTAGAAACATACTGCTGAACTTGCTGTGTTGCTGTACATTGTGCTAGTCTGTACGCTGTGTGTTAGCTAGTGAAATGGCACCTTTAAGAGTAATTACTCTTTTGCCAACCCAAACAAGGTAAAGTGTTTGAAAGGGAAGCAGTACAAATATCCACAATCTCTCGTATTTACACAATTTGCAGCAAGGGAAACTGGAGCTTGTGAACTAGGGAGATAATGAAAGATACCGTGGTGTGTGAGTGTGCTTCTAAAATAGAACCTGTCATGCCTTCCCTTATAACTTGTTTTGCCCATGTTGTTCATATTTTAAATACTTTCTTTATGTTAATATAAGCCATTTAAATTTAGAGGATTCTGTCTCAGTAGGTAACTGAAATCCATTTTATTAATTTTTTACTGCATTAGTGTTTGAATTTGGTTCATTCCACATGTCAGTAGGTCCTTATTTTAAACCTTGATTCAGTAAGTTCCCAACATAGTTGTAATTAGTGTACAGTACCTTGTTGCACATGGATCTTTTTTCATCTGCTTGTGACTTAGTGGTATCTTGTTGCATATTGATTTCCAAGTTACAGTGGACTTAGATGTTTCAGGTCAGCTTATGCCAAGACTTCCCTAATGCAGGGTATCACACCCATTGTTTCAGGATCGGTGTTGCAACAAAAACTGTGTTCTTGTCGACACAGCCAAATACTTAAATTGAAAGTTTAAGAAATTGGCACCAAATTATTATTTTTAATTCGTTTTGTGTAGTGAAATGGATAATTACTTCTGGCTATAATCACATTCTGAGATCAACACTTCCATTCTGTTTCTACCACCTCAATAGGCTGAATTTGTACTTGTTAAAAATGAAGTCATTACCAGTAGTAGCCACACATGTGGTCTGACTGTTTTATCAAATGGGCTACTTCTCTCTGGGCTTTGTCTGTTTTTGAGACTTAAATATGCATTCTTTTTGAATTCAGTAGTGTTGAACAGTAGAGTTTCACTTAGAGTAAAGAGAAGTCACAGTTAATATCTTAGATGATCACCCAGATGATTAGTAATTAAAAGGAGATTGACAGCATGTCATCAGATTATCACAGATTCAGACTGTCTGTTTAAAAGACATTACCAGCTTTGTGAACATTTGGTTTCTGTGCACTTTGTGAAGAAGTTCTTTTTATGTTACAATGTTATGTAAGCATTTGAACTGTTGATCATGATGCTTGAATGCCCTGTTACTTAGTTCTGTTGAACATAATACCCTTGTTTTCCTAATGGGCTATTTGCAGTTGCCAGATCTCTAGAGAAGGCACTACTCTGTGGCATCAGATGCAATGGTAAACTTACTGCACCCCATATTCTAAAGCACAAAAGGTATTTTTAACTTCTTAACAAATATTTTGAATTTAAGGCAGGATTGATAACTGTTGCATATGTTAAGGTTAAAGGGTATCTAATTTTTCAGTCACTGCTTTGAATTTTATGTTTCTGTTAAAAAAAAAAAAAAGCCTGACATCTTTGCCACAGACTCCCTTTTTGTTCTTGCATATGTAAGTCCCATGGCTTAATTCCATCCTTTTTATTACTTTTATAAATATATATATGTTACATATACTTATATATAATTTTATTACCTATGTATATTTAATCATAGTAATCAAAATAATCAAAATATTTCATCATCAGGTGGAACTTGCATTCTGAATTCACA